TTAATATTTGAATAAAATAAATGGATATAATATAATTTTGAAAGTGAAGTGAAGTGGAGTTAAGTTTCAAATAAATCTATCAATGTTATAATGTTAGGTGTGGTGTGCTTCTGTTCTATCATTTCAGATTGACCTTTAGCAAAGGTCACAAATACTGCCAAATTATTTAAGTTATACATTCCAGGACGACAAAATCCAGCGCGGAGCTGAACTTGTTTACTTTCACCGACATCTAATGATAATTGTGCTAATGTTTGTCCCACCCAATTAAAACTAGTACTGATAGGTACTGAATGTCTTTGAGGAGAATCACCAGTTTGAGTTGTACCAAGTCTACAAAGAAATGAAATGGAGTTATACATCCTACTCTTCTGCAGTTGTTTATGCTAATGAGGATTGCCATAAAGTGACAATGAGAAAAAGACTGCAGTTTTTATTTATCACTTCATAACACAGGTTTTTACCGAATTTGAAAATTTTGATGGAGGTGTCAACAGTATAATCTAATGTACAACAAGTTTTTGATCAATTGTTGGAGAGTCACACATCAGAATTTATACGGACAGCTGAAATTGAGCTGGTGTGTATATCCTATATAGGACTTACCTATCACTAACTTGGCTGGTGTCTATCAATATTTCTGTTTTAACACCACAATGATTCTGTAACAACAGACTTACAGGAACAATACACAACCTACAAAACATTACCTTATTCTGAATGAATTCCTATTTTTATGCCTCCTCACGTCATGGTCATCATGGTGCTCAGTATTTCAAGTATGAGGCAGAAAATCATATTTTCGGTACTTAAAAGACTTTAGAAGTTATTTGACTTTTTACTACCGAAAATATTACTTAGTGAAAACAAAGTTTTTTTTCAATATAAAAACTTTTCAAAATGCAGTGCAGAATAGTTCAATGGTTCTTACCCTGAATTGAAGTCATGTTTAATACTACCAGTATATAGAAATGAGTAACTAATTAATTTTGATGTCACTTCTAAAGGTGGGTTGAGGTCATCATCTGGTTCTCTTTCTCTTCTGAACTTCAGCTGTGGTTGGTCTGTGGGAGCCTGGAAAAAGATGGCAAAATACATTTCTATCATTGATGCAATTTAGATTTCCGATTTTTTTAAATTTTAACCATAAGCTTGGATGAAACCCCATATGTCTAGATCATGGAGCCAGACATCCCCTTTCCTCTTGGTTATTGAGTCTTATGAGAAAAGAGGAAAACAAGTTAAATATTTAAATAATTACCACAACTAAAGGATAAGAAGTCACAATAGAGTTGACTGTTTCTACATGTACATGATGTTGACCAACCAATATCTTCATTTGACCATTT